CACAAAAAGCAATGATAAAATAAATTGCCGTAAATGGTTTATCGATGATAATCATTGAAAACAAATTACCACAATGTGAAAAATAGAGGCTCGCCAAGGATAGGTACTTGTGTTTTATTTATTTCCCCGTTGAGGGGGAGCAGATTAGCGTAGTCAGTAGTTCTTTCCTCGCTTTGCACCAATGAGGCCCGGGTTTGAGTGCCGGCTTGGCCCAGGCTTCAATGAGTGTAATTTCAGTCCATACTCTGGCCGGTTTTCTCCGGGTACTCCGGTTTCCTCCTGACTCTAAAATTGGACTTTCTTTCTAACTCCGTAATGTGATACTGGTTGATAAAGGTTATGAATAAACGAATAGTTATTGGCACAAATAGCCTGAGTAGCTGAAAGCGTCAGTAATTAAAACAAAACAACAACTTCCCCGCTGAAACAAATTTCAAGTTAAGCTTGTTATTGGCTTGACAAAACTTAAATATTCACAGTAAGTATAATTATACACTTGTATAAATGTAGGGCCTACTTGTTGGGCCAGTGGTACTTTTTTCTTTCTTTTTTGTCATGTGCAAGGGCGGATCGGGGCAAAGATTGGAACGATTTCTTTGAAAAACAAATAGAGGACGTATGAGAATTATTCGGTCTATTTTATTACCCTTCCTTTAATAGTGTTAGAGTCTCAACATGAAGCCTCATCCATCAGAAAGGTATGGTGGCCCAGAGGGACATCGCCAATCGTCAATATTGCCATCAATATTCACGACCAAAATTCACCACCCACTCTTCAGTCGCGCGAAATTATTGACGTCAATATTCGTGACCAGAAAGAGTCGTGAATTTGGTTGTAAATATTGAAGGCAATATTGACGATTGGCGATGTCCCCCAGGGCCACCATAGAGAGGCAAGAAAGTTGCATGAAACAAATGGTTCCCCCCCCAACAAGTTTGCCCCCCCCAAAAGTCATGTTCTGGATCCACCCGATCTGTAATGTGGACTGTTGATCATTCTCTGAGTGAACAGCGCCAGGGAACTGACAATATGCCAATTACAAGTTCAACTTATGGGTCACTTTCCGCATGATCTGATCTAAAGCTCATCCATCACCCACCACTGGATATTAGAGATCACTTCCTACATACAGGCCCATACTGTCTGGTGATAGTCCCTGATGAAAGGTGGCAACATTCAAGCCCATGCTGCATCCCAAGGTGGCTACCATCATCTCCTACTAAGGCGTGGTTAACAACAAGGAGTATAGCGAACATCAAAATGAAAGTATTTGGTAATTGGTTCAGAGAGGAAGAACTCGACAACTTTACTGAGCCCTGTGACTGACCTTGGTCTTGTGCATAATCATGACTAGTTTATGATCTCATGTGTGCCATTTTGGCTTCGGTTTTGAATGGGTGTGCATTTTTCTCCATCTGCAGATGGTCTGTGCATGTGGGCCCAAGTTCATGAAACCCACACTTCGCATATACCTTGTACTTTGTATAGTCGTTCCCTCCGAATAGCCCACCAGGGACTATACTGGGAGTTGGTGATCGACAGTGGCGTGGCTGCGTATTTGGAAGTGTGGGGCTTGTGCTGGATAGATCTCCATCTAACAATGATTCTGAGCCGAGAAATATATCTAGGGATTTGTTATGGATGAATGCTCAAAGTTCAGCAATCCGTCTCTCTATGCTACAAAAATTAATTCCAGCAATGCACATTTAGTTCAATTTAGAAGTTTTGGGTTTAGCTTTTCTGAACTGAGTATTAGAGTTTGTTAGTGGAGAGCTTCAAGCTGGTGGAACGTCAGTCATAGAGTTTTCGAGGCTCAGGCTGGCACTAACCATGGAGGAAATGCTCTGGTCGAAGGATGACTCAAAACCAGAAATATTCATGAATGCACAGCAGGGACAATACCAAGGTTCTTGTTGGTTCATTTGGTAGTATTCATATAACTCATTTGAAACATCAGTACACGTAGTATATGCCCGCAAATCGCATCCATCACACTGCATGGCTACATCATTGTTCTTTAAACTAAAAAAGCGCCTAAAAATCATTACACATGGAAATTTACGCTTTCGACCACGTTTGTTGGGACCTGGGTTTAATTCTGTCGCCACTAAGCATATCTGTGAACAAGACAACAGCATGTAATACCTACGTTGGGAGTGTACATAATGGGCAACGTCCCGGACTAGATCGTCGCTTAGTCGGGCATGCGTACGACATACACAGTCTGAAGTCTAGGTCTAATTGCATCATACAATTCCGTACAAGCTTAAAGGAACATATATTCCTACCGCAGTTTCAGTGGTTTGTAACTATGTGGATACTCCCATTTTTTTTCATTGGCAAGTCTGGTAACAGGCAGCTATTGTCCAAGTAAAACATGAAATCCGGATGAAAGCAACATGGCGTCATGGGCAGATCAAACGACGACAAGATATCCCCGTTCTAAAACAAAATACAACATCAAAAAGGTGTTCCACAAGCTCACAAGGGACCAAAATTTTCAATTTCCAATAAGAAGAGCTAGGATGTGCGAGTAAAAAGTGGGATAAAAATGGATAAAGGGATAAAAACTGAGTAAGCAGAGAGATTTTTTGGATCGCATCAGCTCTCGTTAGAGCGCCCTCTAACCCTCATGTGATCTCATCGATTTTGGACCCAGCTGATTACATTGTCCCTGCGGGAAGAATTCAGCGATAACATCATCCGTTACAGATAGCTCCCTGCATGCAGTTCTTTCGGCGCCAATGAGAACCAATAAAATATTTGGCTACGACAAGCGTATTTTAGTCATTCGCTTATATTGTTTATGGCGCCCTCAACGTAACACTAAAACCACATCGGTCGATTATTTTGCAACGTTTTCTGCGTAAACACAATGAAAACCTAACCTCCCTACCAAATCAGACTCGACAAAATCTTTCTAATCGTTGTTTTGAGGAACAACGGAAGGGACACCAATGTTCCCCTTTTGTTCATACTTTAACTTTTTTCGGAAGACCTCCCATATGTTTTGTACACGTTTTCCAACCGTGGACTCTTCGGCAACCGCGGACCCTATTGTCCCCTATTGTTATAGGTCCACGATTGAAGGCGTTTACACACTCACCCCCAATTACATATGTATACTTGTGCACACACAAGTGTGTATTTGCCCGCAACTGGGAACCCCCTATTTTTCCTCTTTTTTTGTACCCTAACTTTTTTAGAAGACCACCCATATGTTTTGTACACAGATGTCAATCGGGGACCCTCTGTCAATCGGGGACCTTATTGTCCTCTATTGTTCAGGGTCCCCAGTTGAATGCAGAAACAAACTCACTTACACATCTTTTCCTGGTTAGAACAAGGTGGAAGAGGTACACACGTGATATGTCGTTCTGATGTAAGGTTAATTAAGAGGTTATTTATATATCGCAAGTTGTCAATTTGTTTCATGAACAGCACGCCCAGAGTCACGTGGCGTCCACCTATCCCTCCTTCCCTTTCTTAAATTCCACGGCCGGGCAGTTGCTGATTTAAATCATCGCCTAGTCCCTTGTACAGATTTACGTCAATTATTACGATCATGTATGAATACTTAGGGTGTCGAATTAAACCGCGGGCTGAGGACCTAGTCATGTTTGACTATCTTGGCTGTCACGTGCACGATCGTTTAATTGATATTTAGAGTTCATGTAAAGAAATTTAGTGTGTATATCGAGACACTCATTATAATTAAACAATGTCAAATTGTGTTCATTTTGAAGTTCATGACCTCACGCGAATTGTCCCTTATGCATTGAGCACGTCAGTGGAAATTGTGTGACATTTTGGCTGATCTATCTTGGGGAAGGTGCAGGGTGCGCAACACCGTCCAATTTTCTGAAAACTCTAGGAGGTTGGAAAAATTCAATGCAATGTGGTAAAATATTAAGGGGCGAGTTAAGCCGCGTCCTTTTAAGGGTGAAAGTTCAAATTGAAAGGATACGAAGTCAGCACATCTTTCGTTTCTCGTACAACAATTTTATTACAACTTTTATGCATGTTGGCAAAAATACTCAAATGACGTTTTACATTGAAACCACCTTTACCCTTCGTGCTGAAAACAGAAACGAACAGGGACAAAATAACATCACAGGAACGCATGTCATAGTCACAGTGGTTATTTCGTCGGGAATTAACTGCTAATCAGATGTGCATCGATTTGGTTCTTTTGTCCCCTACGCAATATTAAACTGTCGATTTGCAACGGTAAGTTACCGTACGTTCTTACAAAAAGCACCATTACCTTAAAAAAGTTTTTATCCCCGCTTGAAACATCCTGTCTTTGTCTTTCGTGATAATGATGGTTTAATAAAATATCATTAACAAATATGAGTTCAATAACGCCTCTACCATCTGTTTAGCATTCAGTAAGTGCAATTTTAACTAATATGATTATGGGAAAGACATCGTGACACTCAGGGCGCGTTTAAGTGTTCATAAAAAGGATGTTTCTGATGTCATAACCGTGAATGGAACCAAAGGTCACAGCAAATAAGAACGCCGTGATCACCAAATACTATTAAACCAATGACCAACATCTGAAACAGTATTTTTTTTGGGCCACCGCCACATTGCACTCCATGGTAACATTTATGGACTGGCAGCCATGTTTGTTTTTTTAACGCTATTACTTTGATCTTTTTTTTTCATATGAAATATATATGACATGTACTTCTAGGGGTCGCTTACATAGTTACATTAATTGCACACATTTGAGTTGGAAGATGACTGATTTAGGACTATATTATGAAAAAAAAGCAGTGCTAAAATATTGTAACTTCTTTCCGTTGATATTTAATTAAAAATGAAAATAATATCTACCCTGGATGCGATTGCGTAGGAGATTCAAAGTGTGCCTCTCCAAATTGATGGTTGAATAATAGTACGAACCACCAATAAACGACATTGGTGTTCCTTTGTTCCAAGCTAAAGTACAACGCCGATGTTTTCCCATAAACTTAAAACAAAATAGAAATAATTCAGCAGAATACCATATTGTCTCAGTGATCACTAGTCACCACAAGTACGACGAATTATCATTACGGTGAATAGCACAGAGCTGAATATTTTGACATGTTTTGCCGGCACATGACACAAAGCGCGCAATCCATTGGTCAGATATTTGAATGAAGACATCTTTCGAGGCTTTGCTGTAACCACATCACACGACCAGTAACATTACGTGAATGTATAATGTACCTGCACGGTGTGAGACGACTGTTTCTAAACAGCAACGGAAATGTGGCTGTCATTTCCGAGAAATTCACAAAGCAACAATGGCATAAGTTTAAATCCCGTGTAAATACAACAGATTCAAACAAGGCATTATCAATAACAATGTACAATAGTTAACAGAGGTTTAAAAAATAATACATTGACATTATAATTGCAAAAGCTGTGCTTCAACAAAATAATGTGGAACTGTAAAATTCGTCGAATACGTTTCAAGAAACTTGAACTTTAAAACAAAATACAGAAGGAAAGTTTATCCAAGATCGCCAAAAAAGTAAACTCGCTTTCAGGATGCAACATTCTGCTGCAGTGAACAGTTTGCTAACTGTTGCTGAACAGTTTATTAGGTATTACCATTTTCAAGAGCGATCACGACTTTGTAAGAAAATACATTGTTGAGTAGTTGAGGTGTTTCCTGCAAAACTACCCACTGAACCTTCTCCAAGCACACACCATAAATAGCCTATACAGTTAATGCAAATCAAACAAAACACCTAAATATCTGTCAATTTAACGTCGCGTCACAGTCTCAACAGAATCACGTGGAAGTGCTGTTTTAATTACATCCTTTTGTCCGTTCAATGCACAGATATTTCCCTAGTCGGTGCAAACGTGTAAGATCAATCCGGCGAAGTCGTTTGTCCGTTTTCCGGCGCGGCCTACACGGGCATCTGCCGGCCGATGTGCAGCTGAAATCGAACCCTTTCTAACCGCCCGAACTGCAGGCACATCGCATTGTGTATTCAAGGGGTCACTGTTCAGTCTTGTCTGGGTCAGTTTTCGAGGGAAATCGATGATTTGGTGCGATGTGAGAGGTGTTCTAGAGGCAAGACGTGTTGTCGAGTTGGCCTATACAGGACGATGCCAACAGCTGCTCTTTTGCCCTTTTGCCAAACTCTTTGTGCAAAGTTCAGGGGCAACCCAATGTACAAGCCAAGGGATGCAAGTTCTTGCTCGAAAGGTATTTTTGAGTTGAAACTTCTCAAAAGTAAAACTTATATGCCATACTGTCGTGCCAGAATGTGTGACGGACTATTGTCACGTCCTCAAAGTCGTCTTCGTCGAGTGTCAGGTTTTTATTTTCAAATCGTCTTTGTTGAACAAAAATAAAGACTCTGGTTATAATAAAACTGGTCAGGTTTACAAAGCAAACTTTTTAAGGTAAAAAACATCATAACTTCTTTCGTGATTCAGTCCCTATTATGCAACTCGCAACACCAATGACCATCGCTGTCACTGTATACAGCAGGCGATTTTCCGTAGTTTCTTCTGAATACTGCTCCTGTCATCGTCGTCGTCGTCGTCGTCTTCATCCTGACTGTTACGGTGCACCTTGGACCTCAGCTGAAGGAGATCACTCCGCACGCTCGGTCGCCTTGCGTGAGGCGACACCATTCCGCAGGCCTCGCTTAGGCGCCTGCGGAGGGCCAGCTTGCCGTTGCTGCTCGGCTTGAGAGCGGGGCTGCTACTGGCGCTGATCTTGCGGTGGAGGGACGGACTCATCTCGCTGGGCATTTTGGCATTCTCGAACAGCGCCTTGAACAGTACATCGATGTTGTAGCACCTCTTGGCGGAGGTCTCCACGAAGGTGCACTTTTTGGAGGACTCGAAGGCCCGCCGAGCGTCCTCAGTGTTCACCTGGCGACTGGTCTCCCGATCGCACTTGTTGCCCGCGATCACCATCGGAACGGATTTGGCGCCGTTGCCGCATTTCGTCTCCAGGATTTGTTTGCGCAGGCGAATCACCTCGCCGAATGAATCCTTGTTGTCAATGCTGAAAACTAGGATGAACACATCTCCTGGATAAACAGAAAAGAAACAGTTGAGTGGACAGTTATAACTGTACAAGCGAAAGTTTGACTCTCACTGAAAGAGACCAGACAGGCAAATGTTCCGGAAGATTATCTGCATTATCGGCGAACAGTGCAGGACAATTATATTCGATATTAGTAGGCATATTGGGTTTGTCGAGAATGGCATATCTATATTAAATTGAAGACTGACATGAAATTGTGATATGGACTTGCAAGTTCCGCTGTTTCCAGTTGCACATAATTGTTTTGCCAATGCAGGATTCACAAATCCAGTGCAACCGAAGAGGAAATTAATGAAACGTAATGAAACCCTATACAATGGAAATAATCAAATAGGCATAACACCAGCATCACTATTAACATAGAAGACCAGAGCTAGCTAAGATAAAACTGATTTCTAACAATTATGGGATAAAAAGCCTAACTCCGCCGAAATTCATCTCATGCACGCGGTATAGAAGCCTCCCGACAGGCAGGGCCAGTAAGAAGAAGTAGGCCGGTTTGAGGCTTGTAATATTCAACGGAACAAAACGCCACCGCCGTGTCATTTCGCCTACTGTGCCTCCAGGCCCTGAGAAAGGACATTACGCTCGCACCAGGCCGTGTTTTATATCGCTCAACCTATCGACAGCGGGATATCGGTTCGCGTATAGTTTGAATGCCCTGACGAAAACAAGATTACTTTGAAAGCAGACTTGGTGAGAGGCATCTGAATGGTAGTTTGACAGAATTAAAGGGTGACTCATGATGTGAATTTCATTGGGACCGTGTTTACACCAACCATCTCGCATCTCTTTGGATTACTTTCAATGAAAGGGGAGGAAAAAATATCATAGGACATACAGCTTTTTAAAGGTATCTCGCAGTATCCACTAAAATGTTGGTAATAAGTTAATTAGGTATAAAAAAATCTCGTCAGACAAAATGAGGATATGATCAACCGTTCATCAGTTCGAAGTCTGTAATATTTTAGGAATGCTGGTACAGATGTTCGTAGGTAAACGTAGCATCGAAAAAAGTTGTAAATTCGCATGTCCTCCATACAATTTGGGGAATAAGTTGCCGCCATATTACTGAGTCACAAAATAATCCAGCACTCTGCACAATAGAACACATACGTGATCTAAATGATCTTAAAGCGTTTCATCAACATTTTATTAAAGCATCAAACTTCCGTCGCTTCCTTCCCGAAAATCAACCGATTCCCATGACAATAGCCCGAGAAAGAAACAAAATGTGACTTCCCGTAATAGTGAGAGGGTTTCCCGGCAAACAACGCACTTCATCGTTCAACGAACGCAGATCGAAACTCTCAATAGAGGCATTAAGTGGTATGGCCTCTTGGGGGCAGCACACACAGAATACTTGGTGTTAGGTTCCTTTAGTCCTTCGGACGCCTCAAAGTGCTGCATCACAGCCTACGGAAGAGCGACGACCCCGTCAAAAGGAAAAGAAAATATTTGACAGTTGCGGGGAATATGCACAATGCCGTAAAATGAGACGACCCACTTATCTGTTCTTCGGCGGTGAGCTGGGAATATCCTGGTGACGGCAAGGCTTTGGTTGATGACAAGGTTAGCTTTGGTGGCCCGGAAGGTACAGCAAACTCCGTCCATGGTTTCAGGAAATTCATACACAAATTTGCGAAAGTCATACATCCGTTTGTATGACTTTCTGTTACAAGCGTCTGTTAGAAGGAGAGGGTTTGGGTGGTATATTTGAAACCCCTCGACCCAAACTGAAGACGATTTTGTTAGAGTCCAAGGGCACTCTGCTCTGAGGGGTTGGGGCTTTGGGAAAATAGAGGTAATATTTTGAAATTAATCCCATAAATATGTACAGGCTATGGGTGGCTAAAGCGACAAGCTCTGATATTCCGTCCATGCATCGTCGTGTGAGATCAAAGCAGATCACTATGACTCATTGAGTGATCATTGAGAGTTCAGGCCTTAGCCGTCGTTGGGGCACGAGTTATTTTTTCACCAGTAGCTGACTATTATTCTTTGACCCATAAATCTTCTCTCAATTTGGAAGGCTATGCCATGTGATGAACGGATGCAACCAATCAGATTAAATTGAAGCTTGTCACACACAACACGATCAATCAACTGAAATGCACGGAGGCAACAACGCAGACATTTCGAAAATGAGAGCAATAATTTCTAGTTCGTGAAATTGACGATCGAATCTGCAGTCGCTACCAACGAGGGAAGTTGCGCATGCCTCGGTACGCAGTCAGCTCCATTCGATTTGCGGGTAATACATTAAAACTGCTGTAATTTCCGGTGATTTGTCAAGGGATTCTCAACAATGCAATCTTCCTTTAAAAGTCCGGGCTCAGTTTTTTCAAGGTTGCTTCCGCATCTAATCGGAAGAACGCAATCATCGATGCGTCTTAATCAGGACTAGAGTGAGTCGAGATGTCTTCTAGCCTCGGGTGTAATTGAATTGTACTTCGGACGTTACCATCGATGTATAGACAAATTTTTCTCGCTTTGGCAACAGGAAATCTCGGACATAAATTGCAGGACAGTTTCTGTTAGCCCTGTTATGGAATTAGAATGTACTTTTAATTAGACCAAAAAGTTTTTAACCACTGGTAAGCAAGAACTCGGTTCCCAAACAAGACAGAAATAATATTACATTAAAAATACTGGCGGAAAAGACCGTAGGTATCAGCAGTTTTTACAGGTTGTGGCTAAAAGTTACACCTAGGATTGGAACCCAATTTTAATCAGTAAACGTAGCACAGACAGGCGGTTCAGGTGCCTTACTGAATTTATAAAGGCCAGCAGTGTGGGTAGCAAAATGAAAGAATTTCAATGGAATAATGCAACGACGTTGAGGCAACTCCCGCACGGGCCCACTGGGGAAATTGAATTAACCATTTCGCAGTACATGCCGTTGTGGTAAATTCCCTCCCTCGCCCACCCCAAAAGAGCAAGTCTTGCAAAGCATTTAACATCCGTTTCTTAAACTCAAGAAATTAATTCTTACTCTCCTGCAAGTATAGTGGATCGCCAATTACAGCCTCAGACTCAATAAAAGGTCGACTGGCTCACAGACATTGGTCGTTTTTTCCCTCGAGTTCCCCCCGACTCATTGCAACGAATTATGTTGCTACAAAAGATATTCCTTTATACGAGTCACGTTCGTGATAATCATGTTATTATTCCCAAGGGCCCCATTAACTGTGCATTTTCAACTTTTGTTCCTCTGCCCAGCCGACCGCGGTTGATTACCTATTCATACAAGCCCTGAGCCATCCAGGATTTGATTGGCGCCAACGCACGAAGGAGAGACGCTCGGAGTAGGCGCGACACAGAAAGAAACATCCTCAACATTCTTCCGGAATTAAAAACCAAGGCTTTTTGGTGTCCCTGGCAGGGCCCATCCCATCGCTGATTGAACTCGAATAAACCTTCCAGAAAGCTACAGTAATAACCTTGCCCGCCAAATGAACGAGTACGCACAGCCTCCGGCCATGCATGATTATTCATGAAGATATCCAGGCTTTCAAGTATTCACCAGAAACTGACAACAATTCCTCTGTTTTGCGTGGCGCTTTTTGATACTTTAAATTCTGGTAGAAAGTGGTTATTTGTTTCATTGGGAATAAGTGGAAAATTTAGGGAAAGTTTATGGAAAGGACAAGATATTGTAATCTAGAACACAAAATTAGATTATAGCAAACAACTTTTTGATTAAATGGTAGATTTCGTCATCGTGAAAGTAGTAATCTTTTTAGGCTATAACTTCATATGGAAAGCATGTGTAGAGATAATCTAAAACGAAATAAATGCAAGAAGATTACCAAGAAACCTGTTTAGAACATTCACAGAGTGTAGTCAAGGCCTTCAATTCTGCAGAAGGGCTCAAAGGAAACAATTGGCTTAGTGTGAAATAATGACAAAGATATAAGCAACACAAGTTACAGCTATTCTTAAGACGTACAATGTAGTTTCAACCGTATGCTGTAATCGAAACCTGCCCACTGATGAATGAAAAATTCTGCGAGTGTATCATGTAGCCTACATGCTAAACTAACAATGGATCGATGCAAACTCGGTGACCCATCGGGCTGGCTTTCTGCAGGTTCCAGTGAGAATGCCTTATGTGTTACGTGCCTGCGTCCGCGGTCTAGCGCGAGCTTAATATGGGCTTATCGATTTCTCACCGTTGATTGTATGGCTTGATATTGTGGCATATTCACCCGAACACGCTCCATGCTCTTGCAGCCTGCGATAGCAAATAGACCTCCACTATGGGCGCCACATAAGTGAAATTATGCTCTCCTGGATCTATAGCCTCAAATGATATCATATGCTGTACACTCTGACCCTCGTGGGTGAGACTGAACTAGAATCTGGAGTTGCATTTACTTACAATTCTTACAATTCCTTACAATTATTACAGAGCTACAGATATCTCACCAAGTTACTCGCATGTGGTGAGTTGGTGAGGAACAAATTGCTGTTAGAAAAATTAATTCGTAAAGGGGAAGCTGCGATCGATTTGTTTTAATACAAACTTTCAAAATGAACCTTGCATTCATCTTTTGTTTCACTGCTATAAAGGGTATTTTACTGCCTTTTTAGTTTTCCTGCTGAGTATTTTCATATTCCTTAGCAAAACAGTGAGTTCCCGGAAGAAAGCCTTAGCATTACATTGGCTTGTACGCAAAAGGTCATGCATATTTTGTAGATATTGCTTAACTAAATTTTCTCTATGCTGATTCATTGTTCTTTATGTGCATAGCAGTAATAAAACGTCAATACCTTTCTCAGAATAGTTTTCAGAGAGTGGGTCAATAACTGGAACCAGACTACAGAAGCATGTGCATGTCCTATGGCTTCGACATATCTTCACCAGTGTGTTTTTGTACAGCGATGGATATAGTTTTGTATAGATGTGTTGCTGTCCCCGTGTCACTGACGGAGAATTGCCACAACGACCACAGAGCTGTGAAAGACAAATTTGTTTTT